GGTGCCTCTGGTCTGCTGGGGACCATCTCCAGCAGACCAGGGACACCGGGAGCAAAGGAGGCGGAGGGGCGCTGGGGTATAAGATGAAACCCTATCTTTTAATTAAAAAGATAGGGGGTCGTCTTATACGCCCAGTCGCCCTATACGCCGGAAAATACGGTACCTCACCAGTCTGATGACAAAAAGAGGGTGTTAGCAGATCACAGGTTGTAGTACTAAGCCATAAATCAATGTCTCTCTTTAGTCCATGAGTTTTGATGTCTAGCAGACTTATGAATTTAAACTCCCAGGTTTGTTTTTTGAAAGTGTTGTGCAAGTTTCCTTGAGAATGAGGACTGTATTGGAAATTGTATAAAGAACTTAAAATGGGACGTCACATTTTACAGAAAGCCTTTTTACCCAGTTAATGTCTAGGAAAATATCTGCAACTATAACAAAAGGTTTTGTAGAAAGTAGTAAGATGCATATGTCAGACACACTATCAGTCCTCGTATCCTTCAAGTGTCTGGATCATTCAGCCAAACTGTCTTATCTTCACCATTAGAAATGATTTATGATAATCAAGAAGGAGGAGAGGTTTGAATGTCTTGCTGCTTTTTTCAAAACCTGTTGTTACATTTGCAAGATATTTTTCTAGACCTCAACTAGGTAAACTAGCTTTCTGTAAAATGAGAAATGTTCCATTTAAGTTCTTTATACAATCTCCATTATGTCAGCTGAAAAGAAATATCTCTCATCATTGCAGAATTTATTTTCTGTTCTTGTACTCTTCATAAGAATTTGAAGGTTATAGTGAAAAATATTATCCATCTCCTTTCATTATGAGGTGTAACATAAATAGAAAAAAACACGGAGGGGAATCGCACTGAGAGATTAATAGAAGATAAACATAGAACTAATAAAGCTGCGAGGAGTCCTGTGGTATCTTATAGACTAACTGAAGTGTAGGAGCATAAGCTTTCATGGGCAAAGACCCACTTTGTCAGATGCAAGTGGGTCTTTGCCCACGAAAGCTTATGCTCCTACACTTCAGTTAGTCTATAAGATACCACAGGACTCCTCGCCGCCCCTGTCTAATAAAGTAATAACTTTTCATATGGTTTATAGTCAACTGTTGGAATTCAGGTGATGGGAGTTAAATACTATAGACTGATTTATTTTTTTTATGAAGCACTATATAGTTGTATTCCCAATAATATTTCTCACATTAGGATATCTTATTGAAATACAAATATTATTTGCTAACTGCATTGCTTTTTTATGCCTTTTAATATATTTATTTCCATGTAAAATTGATTTTATTCATTCATATTATTGATAAGTAGCAACTAGTTTTCTTCTGTAATGGTAGATGCTGCAGCTATGTATGAACTTCTAAAGATTGTTTTTAAATTTTCAGGTTATTGTGTCAATGAGTGTAGCATTTGCCCAACAGACTGAACTGGCAAGAATGGCTAGACAAAAGGAAGAATCAGAACTATCAGTAGCACAAACACAAATTGTTCATCAAAAGGAAAAACATTTTGAAAGTAGGAAAAAATTCACTGATGATGAATTAGACAGCTATCTGATTAAGGAGAAGAAAGTAGAAATTAAACATGCAGAAGAGTCGAAACCACTTAGTAAGGAGCTGAATGAAGAGTCCAGTGAGATTTTTTCTCTTGAAGAACAACTTGAATCAAGAGTTAAGCCTGTTTACATACTAGAACAGAGCAAGTGTGAAATGGGATTTCCAGTAAAACTTTTGTCCCAAGGCAAAGAGCTTACAGTAAGTATAGTGACATCCACCTTAGAAAATTGTATGCTTTTTTCCACAGTATTACTATGTAATTTAGACCTAAACAAATGGGTATTTAAAATTTAAATGGAAAAGAGTTAATTTTAACAGAAATGTTATGGCTTATTTTAATTCCGTGAAAATTCATATTTTATATAGCAGCTTGTGTGTGGGATTTCAATCCAAATATTGCGGCACTACACTAATGCATGAGAAGTGGAACATAAAACTGAACATACTGAAAATGACTAATCCATTTTCATGGTCAAAACTTGTGAAATTCCAAAAAGAAAGAATGGCATCAACAGTAAAAAATAAACTTAATTTTTAAAATTATTTTAATGCTAATAAATACATTTTATCACTAACACATGAAACTTATGTAAAGGGGATACAATTGTATAAATATATTATTTTAACCCACCTTATCCTCCTTTATATATAGGGGAAATGATCTGAAGGAAAAGAAGCGATAGCTAAAATGTCTTATTTTTCATAATCTGTAGGGGAGGAGAGTTATGTTCAAAGGCTAGCAACCATTCCTACTCGCTAGACATTTGTCAATTTAGGAAGTGAGATGGGGACATTTTTACCCTGTTATATCTACAGAGGCTACTGTAGCAAGGTGACAAAGATAGTTTGCTCAACTCATTCCTTTCCACAAAGGTGACGGCCCATGTTACGTTCACTCATGGTAGGCTGCCACATATGGATTCTCTGTAGAGTGAAGCTACACACAGTACAAGAGGGTGCTAATCTTTTACAGCCTCCTCAGATTATCTCCCTTTATCTGCTTAAATAGCAAAACCACCCAAGTCTACTTCCTTTTGGTATCATGGAGACAGAGGAAGTATATATCCAGGAGTAAACCGAAATAAATGTAGCAAAATTTAAAATGTTCTGTACATAATCCACTTTTAAGAAACTTAAACATGGAATAAGATATTAAAACTTTTGTTTTTGATTTTGTTTATAATTTTTTAATTAATTTTGATCAAAGTTATATGTTCTTCTTTCCAAAATGGAAACAGGTAATACTTGTACATCTGGGAGCTTGCCAGATTCAATTTTAGGGGACGGTCAGCACCATGGATCAGTGAGAAATAATGAGTCCTCTGAATGCCATATATTAGGGAATAAGAGACAGGAACAAATAAATGTGTCTGACAATGATTTTCTAATTGCAAAGAATTATATAAATGGAATTATAATTAATCTAATTTTTGCATTTCAAATAAATAACCCTTTCATCTATTCTCTGCAGAAAGGAACCAGTAGAACTTAGCCTAGTTCTCCTTTGAGTGCTTGCTTGTATCCATTCTATATAGGAATGTCTGCTCACCACATGCACCAGTATAAGGATGTTAAGAAGTGGGGAATTGACTAATCTTGTAGTCAATACAATTTGTATCGACTACACAGTTAGTCAATAAGGGGAGGCGGGGTTCAAGAACTACCCCCGCTGTGGCTCTGCAGTTTAAATGTAGTAGGAGCCGGGCATGCAGGCAGCCCTGATCTTACCACGTTTAAAAGGCAGAGCCACGGCGGGGTTTGGTCTGGGACCCAGCAGAAACTGGGACTGAGCAGCCCCAGCTTGTGCTGGGTCCTGGACTGCTGCGCCTCTGCCTTTTATACGTAGGTCAGGTCTATGTTGGGACATACTGGTTGGCACTACACAGAGAAAGGTCACCAGTCCACCCATTCCTGGTCGCTTGACAGTGCCCAAACCACATCCAACACCAGCACCAAGCAGCAGTCACTGTCAGCAGAAAAATCCCCAGGGTCAGTGGTACCGTCTTCATCATGGGCATCGCAGTTGACCCTTATGACCCCAAGGCAATTAGCCAGTGGCCTGGTACTCCTGGAACCACTGGGGTTTCATCCAACCATTGCAGCCCACACAGTCATTGATGGAGGCCTCAGATAGCTTATTAACCTTAGCATCTCAACCTCCTCTTGAAGCAGAGACTCCAGACGAAAACATCTCTCTTGCCCAGGAAGATCCAGGGGAACAGCCTTCTTGACCATTAGGTGAAGTCGTAGACCTCATGGTGTTGATTTCGCTCATCATTTCCAGATGAAGTCATCATGGCTCCCCTTCATCCAGTTTCCCAAGATGATGCCAAGGCTCATCAGGAGCTGTTGAAGAGGATTGCCTCCAACCTGGGGCTCTAGGCAGAGGGGCTAGAGGAGCCATTGGACTCCCTGTTTGACATCCTCTGCTCCATATCACCTGCTAGAATGGCATGACTCCATGAAGGAGTGTCAAAGATTATTAATGCCCTGCAGCAAGTCTCCTCTTTCCTGTTCCCTATTTCAAAAGGGGCTGTATGAATATACTTTGTGCCAATTAGAGGCATGAATACCTCTACACCAGTGGTTTTCAAAGTGCGGTCAGCAGACACCTTGAAAGTGATTCTCAGCTTGAGCTCAACCTCCCTGCATGCTCCCTTCTCCCCCCACAGTGTGGAGCCTGCGCTGGTGCTGCAGCCTTGTGCCCCCTGCAAAGTTGGAGCACCAGTGCCAGCTTCCTGCTGGGGAGGAGAGAAAGTGTCAAGACTCGCTGTGCCACCTGGCTCGTGGAGAAGAAGTGGCTCTGTGCAGTGCTGCTCCCCTTCCCGGCTGGGGGAACAGCAGTGAATAGATGCGCTGTCTGGAGGCTTTCCCCGCTGTTCCTATTGGCTGGATTCCTGTCAATGGGAGCAGCAGGAGGCCAATTTACATGGTGCCTGGGAGCAACAGAGGGATGAAGAGAGGTAAGTGGCCCCCTTCTCCTCATGCCCAGACCTTGAACCCCACCCACCTCACACACACACACACACACCAAGACCCCATACCCTCAGCCTGCTCCTGCACCCTCCTCCTAGCCAGACACCCTATCCCCAGACTAGTCCTGCACTCTCCCACTGGCCACACACCTACCCCCAGTCCACTCCTGCACCCTCCCCCTGGCCATAGTCTCAGCCTGCTCCTGCACCCTCCTCCTAGCCAGACACCCTATCCCCAGACTAGTCCTGCACTCTCCCACTGGCCACACACCTACCCCCAGTCCACTCCTGCACCCTCCCCCTGGCCATAGTCTCAGCCTGCTCCTGCACTCTCCTCCCAGCAAGACACCTTACCTCCTAACCAGACCTTGCACCTCTCACCCCTTCCTATATCCCAAATCCTGCACCCTCATCCCACTCATTGGCAGCTCTGTCCCAAACACTGAACCCCAGGAGTACCAGGCCACTGGCTAATTGCCTTGGAGTCATAAGGGTTAACTGTGATGCCCATGATTAAGACGGTACCACTGACACTGGCTTGTTGAAAGCCTGCTCCAGGTACAAGTCCAAAGGGATGTCATGATGATGCAGGCCACATGCTGATCAATGAGCCTGCTAGTAAATGACAAAAAGACAGCACTCATTCTGGTATACAAGATAGAGTTCACTGGAGCAGTGCTTGACTCCACCTGCACAAGAGCATTTCTGTGGCATGGAAGATTCCAACCCTTACTGGATCACACTGGACTCGGAATCATTTCATTCCCCCTAATCATGGCAAGAGGGTCTTTGTGCCTGATGGGCTACATGGCAGCATGCAAGTATGTTGTCCACTTTACAGCTCATTGATGTGTTGGGTTGCTGGAAGTTCCCCCCAGCACCAGCTCCGTGGTGCTGCCTGCCCCCTCAACCAGCACTTCTGTTGCCTCTATGAAAGACATTCCATGGAGCAGCCTCAGTCCGCAACAGCAGCCCCTGTCCGTAAATGGTCTGAGCTTCCAAAGACAGGGCTACTGCCATGAAGCAGACCCCGCTGCGGACCCTTCTTTGACAGGGGCTGCTGCTATCCCATGCTGCTGCCTATGTATCAGAGGCAGCAATGCAGGGCGGTAAGCAGAGCTGGTCTGTGCAGGAGTCTGGTTTTTAAATTGAATCCCCTTGCAGACCGGCTCTGTGCTGCCACCCCACACTACTGCTTCTGATACAGAGGCAGCAGTGTGAGCTAGGAGGGGGCTCCCCCAGAGTGGGCCTGAGAGCACACTGACTGCCAGCCTTGCCCCTGGGGACTATCGAATAGCCATGTAACCGCTAAAATTTGATGTGGTTAAATGACTATTCAGTTACATGCTATCTTACAGCACTAAACTGGATTCAGATCTAATAATGAGTTTGTTCTTTAGAAGCTGTGTTTTGTGATTACCGTATTTTCCGGCGTATAGGGCGACTGGGTGTATAAGACGACCCCCTATCTTTTTAATTAAAAGATAGGGTTTCATCTTATACCCCAGCGCCCCTCCGCCTCCTTTGCTCCCGGTGTCCCTGGTCTGCTGGAGATGGTCCCCAGCAGACCAGAGGCACCCGATTTTTGGGGGATGTTTTTTAACATCAGAGGTCGTCTTGTACGCCGGAATATACGGTACTTTAACACCTAGTAATTTGGGTTCCAGACCAACACATTTAAAGACAAGTCTACATCTGGAACGCTCTGCTGGTACAGCTATAATATTAAACTGGGAAAGCACTAGGTTATACTAGAAAAGGG